ATCCAATTTTCTTTGAAAAAATTCTTGGGGCTTACCAACGTATTCAGAATGAATAGTTTCAAGGTGCCGTTTCAATTTGCCGGGTCTCATACTATCAGCAGCCAAAACTTTTGAACACAACAAACACATTGGTTTTTCCACATTATCGTTAATAATATTAGTAAATCCGAACGATAAATAGGATAAGTCGTATTTCCTTGTCTTGGGAGTTCTTCCTTCCTGTTCCTTGTGGCTTGTATTCCAACATCAGGACAACTACTTGTGCCAACATCAGAATCTTCATTATTAGTGGATTTTCGCTTACATCCTATCAAAAACTTATCCATTTGTATGGAAATATTCGGAATAATATTATATTATTCGAAAAAATTAAAAGTATTAAATTACTTACTATTATTACTATTATTAGTGGGCAATCACGTCAATAACAATAGAAACACAACCCAACACTGCTGAACCAATTAAATATTAGCTGTGACACGAAACAAATTGGTGAGCTAAACGTTGTCGATCTTTTCTGGATGTGTGGCATCTAGTGGCGTTAGTGCGCGCGCATCTGGCTTTTGCTAAGTTGTGTTGGTCGAGTGGAGCTAGTGTCGCCAAATTAACGACGGCCTTAGTTCAAAAGATTTGCCGGGGTCTAGGACGTCTAGGTATATGGATGCTAAGTTACGAAATGTTTAGTTGAACTATGCGCGATAAAGTACGATGGCATTTTTTCATTTATTCTCTCATTTTTTACATAGAAAACTTTAGCAGTAATTTGGAAAATTGTTCACTGCGACTAATTTTCGCGGCTCCCTTTAGGCTAGTCCGCGCCTCCCTAGGGAGGCGCGCCTCCCAGTTTGGAAAACGCTGCATTAGGGGGTGGAGAAATATTTAAAGGAGAAAGAAACAAAGACGTTATCGACGCCGTTAGAAAAGGCCGATTACCGTTGGGAAAGACGGATATACAAAATATCTTAAAGTTTCAACCTGCAATCAAGCAAGTACTGATGTTCTGTATAACCGCCTTTTTTAAATACAATTTGTCAGACTTCGATATTGCTTTTGAGTTTTCTCCACTTAATTCGTCATTCGACTATCTGAGTATATTTTTTTAATCTTCATACTTATAATGATTCTAAAAATATACATTAAAGACGGTCTTTTCGGAACACCCTGTATGTATAATTTTTTTTCTTTAAAATACTTTTCCATTAGTTTCTGATATCATGAGTAGAGCTCCACCAAAGGGGAAACAGATGTCGACAAGTAGCACAAAATCAAAAAATGGAACACAATCCGGATATTTCGACAAAGAGTTTCTGAGAGTATTCGAAGGAGAAGGTTATGCAGACCCAATTCGCAATCGGAGGCTACAAAGATTGGAAAAAGCGAAATTGAATATTGGACCTGCGTTCAAATCAACCTCACCAACAAAAACGCAGTAAGCTTTATGACGTATTTATTTATTTATTCCAATCAGTTTTTTGTAAGCAATGGATGGTTGACCGTGTCAAGGCTGAAATTGATCGCTTATACGGAAAGTTAGTTGATCGTTAAGTTACGGATCTAGTTCAGCCTTGACCGTGTAAAGCTAAGCATAGATGGGGGACAAGATTCACCGTAAGACTTCCGTGTTACTACTTCCGACTGATTTTTACACCTAAGCTTGAATAAACGAGGCATCCAATATTAATATACTAGTAGTGTTTTCAATATAACGCTGTTCTTTCTATTTAACTTTCAACGTAACAAACAGCAAATGAATTCGGAAGACTTCGCAAGATTTGTTTATTATGATAAAACATGGCAAGCCTTACACTTTATTTATGCTGTGATATTAATTTTGTTACATTTGTTTTAGGCTAACGACCTGTTAGAATTTATAAAATTACGAAAAACTCTAATGAATGGTAAAATTACTGGTAAAATCACAATAATAAAACTTCCTAGAATATTAAAGCCTGTTCACACATCGTCTGGTAAGCATAACACAGGCGGAGGGATACACCGGAAGTTTTCTAAATTTTTTCCGGTTTTACATTCAGTCAGCCATCCATAAGAATGCTGTTAATGATGTAAATTATAGTCTCATAAAATCATTTATAAAGTTTAAATCAAAAATATTTGTCACAAAAGTTCAAAATATATTTGTCACAAAAGTTCGGGTAATTAGATCGTTTCTATTTTTTTATAGAAATCTTTTTTTTCTATTCTGGATTTTGGATAGGTAAATACTATAAAATTCTTTTACATAAAGTCAAGGCTTAGGACATATAAGATTCGCTTCCTACACACGACACAAATGGACCAAGTTTGAATCCCAGCCATGCCATGACTATAATAGCTTCACCGGGCCGTATACCGCAGGCTTTTCAGCAATAAGCAAATCGTTGGGGGAAATGTTAAAATTGCATCTGTTTAATTATGAGTAAGTAACATTCAAAAAGTTTTTCAAAAAAGCACTCATACGCAGATCTTAACTCAAAAGTTTCTTTGTCCTCTAAGTTGGGTATTAAATTAGTAGCTGGATAAAATTTGCTTCTTCAAAGGCAATGATGTATTCTTTATTTGTGACGTCATTTTTATAAATACCTCAAATTATTTATTACACCCATACTTAGCCCTCCGTTGAAGAAAGTAACGCATGCATTGATTTATATATTTTTTCAGAACTTTAAAGTTTAATTGCAAATTTCAATCTAGTAAAACTGATAAAATAGTTAGTTTAAAAAGTAGTTAAAGATTTATTTAAAAGCTTCTGTTCTGTTATTAATATGCAATATCCTAAATTTCTAAGCGAACCACATTACACCATAACCAGGCTCAGCTTCATTTTGAATTGAAATTTATTTAAATATTGATAAACTCATTTTAAATGAATTAAAAAATTTTTTTTTGATACAGAAATGGCAAAGGAACGAACTATGGAACATTCCAAGGCAAAACATTGGAATATTTTAGCTCTCATCCAAGAGAAGTAGAGAAGGGTTCACCGCCAAAAAAGAATTTTTATACAAATCCTCCAAAGAAAGGAACTGGATATGGGTACCAATCTTTTTAACTATTTACCTACGAAAAACTCATTTGTATGTTATTAGATATTTAAAAAAAAAAACAATTTAAAAAAAAACGATCCTTTTAAGACTATTTTTTTCCATGTCAAAATGTATGTAAAATCGTAAGATAAATATTTTTCTACTATTTACTTTAAGAAAAACGATAATTGCTAAATATAAGGCTCCCACGTGTACAATCTCTCATTAAATTATTGTTGTAAAATAATTTTAAATATAGAAGTTTTTCAGATGAAAGCTGTTCGTTTTATTTTATTGGCAGAAATGTATGTAATACATAATCTAAAGCTAAAAGAGAACACGCTTATTTTTTATGCCGAACGAATCTACTTAGTGGTGCATTTTCAAAATTTTCATTTTAAATCTTGGTGTTTTTACGCAAGGCGACCTCGCTCACCAACCATCGAGGGTGCTTCTCAGTCATCATTGTTCTTTTCTTTCTTTAAAAGTCGATAAAAAAAGATAATTTTGTTTGCAAAATATATAATAATTTCATGTAAGCACATTTTATTAATATTTTAATCGTAACGAAATTAAAGGATACAGGATTTGAAAAATAATCAACTGTACTTGAACAAAAATTAAACTCAGAAATATAGAATGTGCTGCACAACACAAGAAGTAATAAATGAGAAGTTTTACTTATAAACAATATATAACGATAACCTTATATCATATAACATTATTTCTCTTCAGTCTTTACACTTTTACAAATTTCGATATAAATGTTAAGATGTACCTAATCTCTCTCTTATTACTTGTTTATTTATTTTTTAAAATTACTTTTGATGTCGCGAGCTAATAAAATCGTGAGATTCATTTTTCTACAACAATGGATAATAATTTGCAAGGCAAAAAATTAAAAAAAAATCACTTAAAACTTCATTAACTTTAAAACAAATTGGAATTTCGATTAAAAAAAACTGTGTTAAGCTTATAAACAAATATGGCCCTTTCAGTATGCTAAATTTCATCTCTGTAGTTGCATTCCTGTTGTCTGTAAATCGGTCCTTATGGTGTGTTTCTTTTTCCATAGCTTTAATAGTTAATAATTATCGAACGAATTGCCAAATGCTAAATTATGTTATTCCATCGTACTTCCAGTAATTTTTTCTACACACCTTAATAAAGTTTTATAGTTTTTTTCGCTGCAAAACAAAATATAACGAAAACAACGACGTCGGCGGTCTTTATGATTTTTTAATAAAACATTATACTTTTTTCGATTATTAAGTATTTTAAAACATTACATCGAATGTTTTTAAAAATACTACTAATTGATAAGTTTTGCTAAAAATGGCAAAATCATATGCGATTGACCACATCGTGGTGCAGATTAAATTAAATAAAATGAAAATTTGTAACATTTAGAACATTGGTTTTACCCGCATCAAATTTTCGGAATTTTGTTTAATACAGTGGATATTTTTAAATTGGTTGAATATTTTTGTTTGCAAACCTAGATGTTTGGTTTGTAAGTCTACATAAAATTGGCAGGAGAAAAAATTAAAATTTCCAACATAATAATATACTTTCAAACATACGGAACATAATAAAATTCGATCAATTGCAGGGCGCAACTGCGCCGAATTTCGAATTTAAAATGCCATTGTATGAAATTTTGTTATTACCAAAATTAAATATGTATTTAAATTAGTTAGTAATGATTTTCAATTTAGCAAAAAGGATTTCGAATTTACTTTATCGTGTCAGATAATGATTTTAAGAATTGTTTCATTATATGATTTTTCATATTAATTCCCCTTCAAATAAAGATTCTGATCACAGGTGGTAAAATTAAAGGATCAAGTACAACCCTGTGCGCTATTGTTATATTATTATTATTTAATTAAGTTGGAAGTTAACATTGTCAATTAGTCCTGCAGTGGACTGATTGTAAAGTTCCCAGTAGAGCATCGAAGTTAAGTATCACTGGCTGCGTTCAGTAAGCGTGTGGGTGACCACTTTGATCAGTCTGCGTAAGGACCGAGGGTGCGTGGTATCTGTCATCATTAAACTGTTCTACCGTAAAGTGCTCTACTTCGCGCGCAGCTCATCAGGATACCGAAGTAGAGGAGCCCTCCCCTTTGCAGAGGATCAAAATTGTGATGGCCTGTCTTTGGATCATCCTCAGGGATGCTTCCCAGACCGTCGCCAATAGCCCATTGCGGCTCTAGTGCGAAGTAAATAAAATAACTACCTACCAGTTAACATTAAATGACGAAAGGTAATTTGAATAGAGAGAGGTCACTATAATGAAACTAAACTTTATATGTAGAAACATATAACATTCAATGACAGCTAAACTAGTATAAAGGAATTTATTATTTTAATTTTCTAATCAAATTAACTGAGTACTTTATTTTACGTTGACATCTTTCAGTTACCCGAATGTGACGATAGGAAAAGTTCCTCCATATTTTCTTGAGGGTGAATACGAAGAATTAAAAGAAAAACCGGTAAGAAAGCAATTTTTCTCAACCGTATGCATTGTAAAAATTGCATACGACAATTTTTTTTGAGATTACAACTTTTTCTGCAATGTAAGATCTCGTATCAATAAGTAGTCGTTTAGAAAGACATATTACAAAAAATAATTTTTCTTTAAAAATAAATTAATATTTTAATTTTTAGGAAGAGCCAGAGAAACCTGAACCCCAAGAGTTTGAACCTTACAAAGTTGGTATTTTCCAACAAGGATACTTTGATCCGAATCCATTCCGTACAGATGAAGAGGTTGAGTTGCCTGAAGAGGAAGAGACAGAAACTTTCGAAATCGAGAAACCATTCTTGCCCACTGGCCCAGCAAAAAAGGTATATTATGATGAGCCATTCTTGTTTCCATAGCACCAGAGGACCTCAGACTCAGTGGCGGGGGGAGTTCTTAGCTTAGACAAACTATACTTATGGTTGACTGAATGTAAACAATTACAAGCTTCCTAAAACCGGAAGAAATTTAAAAAACTTCCGATGTATCACTCCGCTTATGATATGCTTACGAGGCGATGTGTGAACAGGCTTCATATTCTAGGAAGTTTCATTATTGTGATTTGTATTTAATTTTACGCGTAATTTTACCATTCATAAGAGTTCCCTGTAATTTACAAATTTTAACTTGCTGGGAGCCTAAAATAAATTTAGCAAAATTAATATCAAAACATAAATAAAGTGTAACGTTAGCCATGTTTTGAGTGTTACCCCTTAGTTGTGCAAAATGTCACATTTGTAATTTTTTTGTGTTGCATCATAGCATGCTTGTGGAGTTTTTCGCATACATTTGTTGTTTGTTTCATTGAAATTTAAATTGAAAGAACACGTTATTTTGTAAACACCATAAATATAGTTGTATCCGCACGGATTTGTAGCGCCATCTAGAAAAGCTTGTAACTTAGAGAGTGAGTGTGTGTGGAAGGAGAGCCGTAAAGAGCTACAAAAAAAGCTCTCTTCGAAATATTAATAAATAAATATTGTGCATAATTTACAGTCCACTTCTTGCTGTTTATTGAGCGAGTTCATATTTACCTGAGCGTCGACAATAGTATAACTATAAATTCTCTTTTTTTCTTAAAAACACATTGTTACTCTTTCGGTACAATTTTCTCCACTAACTGTGTATAAGCAAAATGTTGTGGAAGATTGGTTTACAAATCTACATTTCAAACCGAAAATGTAACTATTTTTGTTGAAAAACAATTAATAGTTTTCGGAAAATTTTGAAAAATTGGAGATGATTTAAAAAAAACAACATATTCAGAAATGTTAAATTAAAATTATTAGTAGATCATATGGTCTTCAAAAACTATATAGTGAGATAAATAACATCTATTTTAAACATAAATATCCAACGATTGCATTTTTTAAATTCCATGAGATTATCTATGAAAGTTATTTTTCAGTTAGAAATGTTGCTTATGCACCTAGATATAGATATGGTGAACATTTTAGTTTTCAATTAAAAGTGGCAAAATATGTTTTATTTTTAAACCTTTAATGCTAGTGAACGTTTGAAATTTAATTTAACAATTGAAATTGAAATTATTGTGTGATCTTTATTTATTACCCATCTTATGCCCTTCGACATAGAGTATCTTAAACGTTTTAGTTTTGTTTTTAATTAAAAATGGCAAAATATATTTCATTTTTAGAACCTTTAATGGTAGCGAACAATTTTTCACGTTGTGTGATCTGTATTTATTAACCATCTTATGCACTTAGACTTTATGCACGTATTAAACATTTCAGTTGTTTGTTCAATTATGTTTTATTTTTTACCCAAAATAAATAATAAATAAAATAAAATCCTTTAATGCAAGTTGCAAATTATTTACTTTATGGCCATGCAACTCATAAAACAGTTGGTTTAGAAAACAATTTTTTGATAGACCAGCAAAGATTTACACCCATCAAATTCAAAAAATTAGTTGGAGTTAAAACCGTGTTTTTTTCTCCAAACTAGCGTCAAAAGTAGTTGCCAGGAATTACTACAAACTACTGTTCTTTATGTATCGCACTACACACCACACAACGTTTTTTTTATTTTTTTAAGTGGCACACTACACTACAAACTAGGAAAACAAGTAGCGACTACTGTAGTTTCACCATTTGCAGTGTGCTACTTCTGACCACTGATATGGCTGTATAATTAATTAAACAGCTGGTTCAGAAAACAATTTTGTACCTTGAGTAATCTTTTTAGAAACAAACTTAATAATGACGATTTGGGAATAGTATTCATACTAAAACTTTCAATAGAAAAGAAATCATAGTTAAATAAACTTGATCTATTAGTGAACTCTAGAGTGGTTATTACCATATTGGTTAAAAAATGCATATTTTTATAAATTTGGCGTACGCAAGTGTTTTTGAATGAGAATTACTAATGTAAGAAGAAATTGCATGTATCAAAATGTTAGCAAATCGTTGTTTGAAATTTTTTTAGGATGGCGGAATGAAAGCCGGTTGTTTGAACAAATTTCCTGAATATGTTGGTGATCCATATGCTAAAATGGGTGAGAGAAGTTTGAGAGGAGTAAAAAACTATGTTAATGCTGAGAATAAAATGTTTCGATATGTACCAGGACCTAAGCCTTATCCTATAAAATCTATCATAACGAAAAACGTTGAAAGGTAAGGTTATATAAGCAAATTATTTTTTCTTTCAGTAATGATAGTATATCTACTGAGATTTTTTTAAAAAGAAAATGTTGAGAAGCTACAAAATTATTGTTTTTATTTGAAGCTAGTGCTAATTGCCCGAGTTGCGTTAATTCTAAAAATCATTAGTTTTTTTTTTGTTTCATTTCATTCATGTCTATAAATATGGAAAAATAAATGCATTTGATTATGCAAATTAAAAGTTATTAAAAAATACTATAATTTTATTGCCTTGTTATACAATTTCAATCAATAGAATTTAGTTGCAAGAATTTTATACACAAAATAAATTTTTTTACAGTTGTTGTACACTTTTAGGATAATTGATTCATGGTTTAACCGTAACATCAGAACATATGATACACATTATTTTTGAGAAAAAAAATATTTTTCTCTTAGTACCCCAAAAATTAAATTTTTTACATCATTTTTTATTAATAAGGAAAAAAATAATTGCATAGAAAAGTTGTTTACAAAAATTAAATAATTGCTAATCGACACCTTTCTTTCAAAAAAGCAATAAAAGCTCTTCACAGATGAAAATTGATTTTAAGAACATCCCTAACTTCGCGACTCCCAGGCAACCAGTTATCTTAGCTCCTCAATGGCTTCCTTGCCTCTATCTTATCAATAGCTTGGTGCTCTTTTGTTCTAGAGCTGTGATATATTAAACATTTATGAACAAGAATTAGACTCGTGTTGGCATTTTTTTGAGGGGGGAGGATTCCATTTAAAGACTTTTTCTGAAACACTCATTATAAAAGCTCTTTAGCGATGCAATTCATTTTACTTAAATTTATTTTAGTGCAACATTTTAAAGATACAAACTATATCCAGATGTATTTTGCTATATCATCTCATATGATAATCATACTAAACAGTAACACTGAAATTACAAATCTTCCAAAAATGTTAATGAAAACTTGAATATTATAATATTTAAAAAAAAAAAAAAAAAAAAAAACCAGCAAGTACTTCAATGCTATTAAAGACACATTAAGAAATGATGTTATTTTTAAGCATGTTTTTCTGTATTTTCTTACTATTATGCAACTAATTGGATAATATCTACAAATACTGTTTATGCTTAACTACATAATTTATTTGCCAATTTCAATTTTTGTAATTTAATCACACTGCTTTTCCTTTCAGGAGAGTAACACCTGCAAATTTCACAACCATAAAAGGAGTAGTCTATTGTCAAAACAAAACTTCTCATTCCATAAAGAATTAAGTATTTAAACTTCATGAAAATATGTGAAGGCATTATATTAAAAAACATTTAAAATATTCTCTCTATTATTATTATTTATAAAAATATTCTTTTAATAATGAAATGCAAAACATCAATTGGCAACACAAGTATTTGATGTAGGAGTAGAAAATAATTAGTTATTTTTACTGTCAGAAATTTTATTTCAAAACCTACAATTTACCAAGTAAATAAATAATTACATAATCATGATGTTTTAAATTATATGAAGCTATGAACTTAAAATATTCCCAACAGCCTGTTGTGTGCCATGAAGATCAAAGAGGTTAAAACACTGCAATTTTGATACCAAAAGCATGATTGCGGCAATGTGGTCAGTATTACTCACAGGTTGTCTTTACCTAATTGACAAGCAGCTCCTGAGTGGGTTTTAAGTTACCATAGAAGATCGAGTCTCAGTCCTTCACAAGAACAATTCAGTGTCTTAACCTCCAACTCATTGCAAATCGTACATGCATATTAGATATTTTAATTGTAAAAATTATAAACTTAAATTTCGGTATTATTGCACAATTGTCAACTAAACTTTCATTTGGCGAAGTTAAAAAAAAAAAAATATTATCAAGAAGCTCAACTTCAAATTAGATCTAAGAGGCTCAAAACTACTTCTACCAGGATTAAACATTTCATTTCAAACAATTTTACTTCAGAATAATAATAATAATTATTATTATTTTGGATTATTCTTTAGGTCATAAATAAACTCCTTGCAGTCTGAGTACTTAAAGCAATTTTCTTAAAGTAAAAGTATAAAAATTTATATGTAAGTCCTAAATACTATAAGGCACTATATGCTTATAGAAATAATATGTTCAAATTGTTAGAATACAAATTGAATTTGCAAGTCAGATGACATTTAATAATCACAGAATAAAGAGGTAACTAAATGAAATGATACAAAAATTTTAAAATTCATAGAAATCATGTGCAATGTTTTTGTCAGAAGTGCCATCAGGTTGCAAGAGTTTAGAAAAAAATAATTTTCTCCTTCCTGCAAACTGTATTAGAAATTCTTCATTAACAATTTTCAAAAAGTCATAAAATACTTCAATATAATAATTTGTTAAGAAAAATCATCATTTTCCATATATTATTGATTTCTTTTTATTAAAATTTTTTTTATTCAATATAGTAAAAAAAATTACACTCAATTAACAATTTAACATTTTTAAATTAAGCAAACATTTAAGTTAAGTGTTTTTACAAATTTGAAAAATGATTTTTTTCTAAATATAGGGTTTTAACTTGATATTTTAACTGTCTGAGCATTAGTTCTGCTTTTTTTCCCCACAAATTTTTTTAATGCAGGCTTTTCTGCATTAAAATAAAATAATAAATAAGCGGCTTCTCTATGTTATTGAATGGGAAAATAGTGCCTAGCAGGAAAATTTCTGTACACTTTCACCCAGGGGCTCAAAACGTAGAGGCTTAAAATAGAAAACCACTAGCTTGTAATCAGTCATACCTATAATTAAATTAATATACAATAAAGAATTTCATTTACTTCAAAGAAATAATTTCTTATCGATTTAGTTAATTACCTATTCAATTAGATTATTAAAATCAGGCTTTGTTCTCAATCAGTTCATATAATTGGAGTGATACTGACCGTCTATTGTGAAAATAAGATAATCGAACAATGATGTGTAATTGAATACATAATTTTTTTTTAATCTTTCTATTTTGTTAAAAAGGAAAAATAAACAAATAAATAATTTGAGAGAGTTAAAAATATATTGTTACTGATAATAATACTAATAGAATATTAAATGGATTAGAATTTTTATTTTGAATGGCAAAAAGCAAAATATCTTTAAGAGGGATGCTGTCATACCGTGATTCAAATTAGTCATATTTTTTATAAATCAGACTTTATAATTAATTGAAAATAAACACAAAACTTCTTTTTATTATCAATGGTAATTAAAAATGAACTTATATTTGGAATCTTTTTAATGAAATTTTTAATTTTCATTTGTTTTATAATTAGTTCTATGTTTTGTTTTAGTTTAGAAAATTAACCCAATATCTCTTACCAATGGTTGTTCAAGGCTATAAGAACAGATAACTTCATGCGGTATTTTATAAATGATCCGACTTTTGAAACCATTGAAATAAAAACATAAAATTTCGGAAAGCTGGGATAAGTTAACTCAGGTAACTGTTTTTTTCTATTTTTGTATTCTAAAAAATTCTTTTAGGTTATAATTTTTAAATCCTAATTAATACTAACATCAAATATAAAAACGTTATAATTTTTAAGTTATACTTTTTTTTTAATATATTTGATATTTTGCAGAGGAAAATGCTATCTAACTGTAGAAAAAATCTACTTATCAAACTTTTAAATAAAATAAAAATATTTAATATTAATCTGGTATTTTAAGCCTGGATTTTAAAGTTATTTAAAAAAATGAAGATTTAAAATTTTTTTGTAAAAAGTCAACTGCTACTTCTTGACAAAATGTTTTGTTTCTTCTGACTGATTAAAAATAAATTAATTTAATGAGTTTTATATAAATACCATCATGTTTTGCATACAATGAAACAATGTTCAACAAAAAGAAAAAAAAGATTTTTTTTTTCAAATACTTGAAGCATTTATTACAAACAACATGAAAAATACATAAATTGCATAGAATATTTAAATGTGAAGAACTAACTTTCCATCTTGGAGGTAAGGTTTAACTTAAAAATCACAGAGGTGGGAGTAGTAGAATCAGCTACTACAATTTGCTGGCCATCAACAATCCCCAAATCTAAGAATTATTAATATAATATATTAATAATTATTTATAATTTTTATATATAATTTGGAATTACAATAAATTCCAAATTTAAAAATAAAATCTGAATCACATGAACAACATGAAGTATTAAAATAAGTTGCATGGTTACATATATCTGGGGTGTAAGGAGGAATTTTGTTTTAAGAAAAATATTAGCTTAAACAATACAGAGAGTAAATCCATATTTTGTTTCATATTTTACAACACTTTGCTTTTTGTACAGGTTTATGGATGAAAACGTTATTTTTAACATCGACTTTAAACTTTGAAGAGGTTTCAAAATTTTTAACAACAATAAAAAAATATAAAAATTTTGATAAATTTCATGAGAATATACTTAGTTTCTTTATGGTCATGAATAAGCTTTGTCTTAGAATTTTCAATTTGCTATTTTTTAAGCTTGATGAGATTGAGTAGAAGACAAAAATATCTTTGGATCACTAACAAAAACTATCCTATCAAACTTTGAGCAATAGACATACATAGCAAAAATATCAGTCTTATAACCATTACCAGTTTCCAGAAGCTTATGGAAATAGTCTATTGCACATACTCTTCAGGATAGCTTTTGACTCACTAGATGTAACTATTACATACATAAATTAATATTTGTACAAGCATTAAAATCCTTGAAAGATTCTCTCTATAAGAACTGCACTATCTGAGCAGCGCAATCATCAAGGAAAGACAATACACAAATCGAATGGGGCGGAGCATTTTAACTGCTTCCGTTTAAATGTTTATTTTTGCATCTTATTAAGGTTTTATCCAAAGCAAGGAAAGAGGTTCAAATAGTTCTATCACATAACGAACTCTGTTTTGTGTATGTTTGAGGAAGGGGAAAAAACTCTTTGCATGCTTCAGAACTGGGTTTTGTTTATCAAAGAAAAGATTACACCTTCATGAGGAAAATATTTATGTTTTGGTTAACAGTTAACTTAGATACATCACAGAATGAAAATTTTACTAGTGAATGAAAGGAAACTAAATGTTAGATATCATAGAGGGACATTAAATAATATCAATAATAAGTAGGACATTAAATTATATCTTCAAATAGTCATAAAAAGGAGCAGTAGAAAAAAATTGTAGAAAAATAATTTATAACCATAAAACAAAACAATAAAATGTGTTAAGAAAATATGGAAATATGAAACTTAAGGAGAGAACATTTTGTGTATAAGTCATAAAATAAACAAAATTGAACAAAATGGACACAGTTTTATCTATACAGCAGGAGTCAAGAGTCTCTAGTTTTAAAAAAAATGAATTAAAAAAATAAGTAAAGTGAGGGGATAAGTAGATCATTAATATAATAAACAAAATGAAGAGCAAAAAATAGATAATGTAAAGAAACTTCAATAAAGGAAGATAAATTATGTCAAAGTTACCTTTTAAGGTTTTCTTTAAATTGGGTCTTGTAGCAACTTCAATAGACTGAATGGATTGCATATACAAAGTTTTATGTTTTCCGTCTATGGAAGTTGTTAACCCAGGAGACTTCATTTGGCTGAAAATAAAAATACAAGTTAGAGCCATGCTTAAATCCCAGAACTGGATTTTTGCTTGAAATTAAAGTTTAGGGCAGGTGAAATTTTCTTATAATAGACTGATATGAAATGAAAAACTAAAAAGAATAGTTTTATGAAGGGGTCTTCTCAGTGTAACATTTTAGTACAAAAACAGTTTAAATGTTCACACCAAGTAAATTTTGTATTGGTTTACAGCAGTGGTTCTCCACCTGTTTTGCTCGGCAATTTTTTTAAAAATCCAAAAAGAAATTGGTAAACCAGTGTAATAGTACAAGGATCATTAAAATTTGACAAAACATTTATTTTCCATAATGCACAATAGTTGATAACAAGAAGCAAAAACATAATCATAAAACATCTTGGTATTTGTAGCTAATATAAAATTAATCCAACAAACCAACTGGTTCTATGTAAAGCATAAGTTAAACAAAAATACTCTTCACTGAATATTTGCAGCTGTCCTGATATAAAGAAGTTAAAAGCAGACAGCTCGAGCTTTAGATCAGGTTCTGCATTTATTCTCAAAATAAATTTCTATTAAATTTTTAAGTATGTTGTAGTAAAATTTCAATAAAAAAAAAATTTGATATAGTGAACAACATTCGTATTTAAGTAGTTGTAGTTAACTACGAATGTTACATAATGGACCATTTTGGTTTTAATACATCAGGCTGTGTAGTCAAATCTTTCAACAAAAATAAGCATCCTTTAAGTACTTTTTAAGCACTAAAAATATTTTTAAGCACCATATACATTAACAAAATGCAAAATAATTTTTAAGACTTTACCTGATCATGATAAAATAATTAGTTTCTGACAAAGAACTTTTTTCTTGATTATATTAGTCACCATAAAAAGATTGAGAGATCTTTCGGTTCGACTACAGAGGGTGGAAAATGAAGCCAGAAATTGAGAATACCTTGCAAAATGCAACAAAGTTGCACATGAGAGTGCAAGAACCACACTGAACCATCCAGTTCAGTAGAGGCACATGCGAACTCTCAAGTATTTCATCAAACATGTAAAATGTTAGGCGCTTTCATACGCTATGTATCGACGGTAGGCGGAAATGGATTGTGGTTGAATGAATTGTAAAAACATTGAATAGAACAATGTGAAAACAGTGTGCATAATATGTGGCAAAAAGCAACAGGGTAAAGAAAAAATCTCTTCATCAAAAAGGGAAAATTAATCACTTTTTAAAAGCATCCAATAAAAAAAACCTTTAAGGGCTTTTAAAAAACGAAGTCGCAAATAAGCACTTTTTAAAACCACTACACACCATGTATATAAATCCAGCACCTTCTTTTAAAAAAAAGAATTGCATAACTTCATTTCAAGGACAGAAAAAACAGTCAAATTTGGGCAATCTTATGACAGGATAAATCAACAATTTCTTTTTCCCTCAATAAAATTAGGTACAGGTGTCTTTAAACATTACAATTCTTATATGTATCCCACATCATTCCCAGTTGCACCAACTAGATAAATATTCATTAAAAGTTAATTGAATTTTCAGATGTTGTTGAGAGAACCAAAATACTTATATTAATTTATGAACAAATCCAAAAATTGAAACCTTGCTATAACATTTTAGAATTTATTACACACACTGAAAATGATGACACCTGGGACTTGTAATGACAATTATAATTCCTTTAATTTAGAAGAGATATTAATTAAGTATGAAAGCTTTCGAAGCCAACCAATATTTAATATACACAAGAAAACTTTATAAACATGATCAAGAAGAAATAATTAATACTTTCAAATTAATAAATGTACATTATATTTGAAGTATATTGAAAATAATTTGTAAATTACAATATTTATGTTTATTTTTTTTTAAAAAAATTGTGAAAAAGCAGTTTTAGCATTTGGTAAAAATTAATCTGCTTAATTCAATACATAATAAATGGTGGACCTCTATAGAAAACCTGGCATTTAACACTAAAACATTATAAAAATTTATCATATTACTGATTTTAAATACTAATAAAACAAAGGATATTATAAAGAGAGCTTACTATTCAGCGTTTTCTATGAGAAAGTCAATTACATCTTGCAATTTATCAAGCTCAGAGAATGTTAATGTATGCACTATTTGACTACAGGCCAAACAATTATCCTATAAAAATACAACAATGTAAATAATCTGCACAACTTCGTAAAAAATTCTTAAATATTTATTTTAAAAAATACAAATATCTAATAAAATGCTAATAAAATACAAAATATCTTGTTTATAAGGGCAATAGTTTTCATTAATGAATTTTTTAGTAAATGCATTAAATCATTATATTTACAGAGCACTATTTTATTCTCCAAAAATTTTACATGTTGGAACTTGACATTTAATTTATCTTTCATAACTCATTTGGTTGCTTTGCAAGAAATTTTTTCACATCAAAAATATGTTTTAGGAAACATTAATTAAAATATGAGATAGTGAAAATAATGATTGCCAAAAGAAATATATTTTTTTAAAACTAGAAGTAATAAATTTAAATTTCAGAAAAAAAATTAACAACACAATGTAATTTCTTTAAAAGAAAAAAGAAGCTACTAAAGTAAATTGGTTTAATCATACAAAGTAAACCTTTATGAAAACTTGATTTTAAAGACTATTCGATAAAATTGCAGTACAATTTTTTTAAAGCCTATTCTCCCACAAAAATAGCAATATGAAAATACTGGGGGCTTTGCCTCTGTTCACTAACTCCAACGATTGTTTCATAATCATTTTTATTTTAATCAAAAGATCAAAAATTTTTTATTATATTAATACAAATTTAGTTCCACAAACTTAGTTCCGGATTCAATCAGGATAAAACTAAAACCTAATAATTTGTTTAGCTACAAATATAAATTAATCCTCAAACTTGTGTTTTAAATTCTTATTTAAAAATTTTTTTATGCATACAACTACTTAAATATTTTTTCGGCAAAACATTAGAGTGATTTGTGTATTTAGTAAAAGTNTTCTTATATGTATCCCACATCATTCCCAGTTGCACCAACTAGATAAATATTCATTAAAAGTTAATTGAATTTTCAGATGTTGTTGAAAGAACCAAAATATTTATATTAATTTATGAACAAATCCAAAAAGTGAAACCTTGCTAATACTTTAGAATTTATTACACACACTGAAAATGATGACACCTGGGACTTGTAATGACAATTATCATTCCTTTAATTTAGAAAAGATATTAATTAAGTATGAAAGCTTTCGAAACCAACCAATATTTCATATATACAAGAAAACTTGATAAACATGATCAAGAAGAAATAATTAATATTTTCAAATTAATAAGTGTAAATTATATTGGAAGCATAGTAAAAATAATTTGTAAATTACAATATTTATGTTTTTTTTTTTTTTTTTTTTAAATTGTTAAAAAGCAGTTTTAGCATTTGGTAAAAATTTCCTGCTTAAACATTCAATACACAATAAATGCTGGACCTCTATAGAAAACCTGGCATTTAACACTAAAATTTAAAAACTTATCATATTACTGATTTTAAATACTAATAAAAAAATGATATTATAAAGAGAGCTTACTATTCAGCATTTTCAATGAGAAAGTCAATTACATCTTGCAATTTATCAAGCTCAGAGAATGTTAATGTATGCACTATTTGACTACAGGCCAAACAATTATCCTATAAAAATACAACAATGTAAATAATTTGCACTACTTCGTAAAAAATTCCTAAATAATATTTTTAAAAATACAAATATCTAATAAAATGTGCATTAAATAGTTATATTTAGAGAGCACTATTTTATTCTCCAAAAATTTGCTGGAACTTGACATTTAATTTATCTTTCATAACTCATTTGGTTAATTTGCAAGAAATTTTTTCACATCAAATATATGGTTTAGGAAACATTAATTAAAATATGAGATTGTGAAAATAAAGATTGCCAAAAGAAATATTTTTTTTTAACTAGAAGAAATAAATTTAATTATTAGAAAAAATTAACAACACAATGCAATTTCTTTATAAGAAAAAAAAAGCTACTAAAATAATTTGGTTTAATCATACAAAGTGAACCTTTAGGAAAACTTGATTTTAAAGACTATTCGATAAAATTGCTGTAAATTTTTTTTAAAGTCTATTCTTGCACAAAAATAGCAATATGAAAATACTGGGGGCTTTGCCCCTGTTCACCAATTCCTATAATTCTTTCACAATCATTTTTATTTTAATCAAAAGATCAACAATTTTTTATTATATTAACACAAATTTAGTTCCACAAACTTAGTTCCTGATTTGATCAGGATAAAACTAAAACCTAATAATTCGTTTAGCTACAAATGTAACTTAATCCCCTAACTTGTGCTTTAAATTCTTATTTAACATTTGGTTACACATACAACTTCTTAAATATTTTTTTGGCAAAGAATTAGAGTGATTTGTGTATTTAGTAATAGTATGAAAGTTGATTCTTAAGACAGCTTCAGAATTTTAAATAGTTATTTGTTTATTTCATATTCATTGTTTTAATTGCATATGTTGTAAGCACACAGTTTTACACAAAAACTATAGCATAAAAAATTATTACGAAAGTAAATACACCTTATTGGCTGTTTACTAGCAGTAAAACGGTGACTTAATATATTTATCATATAAATAATGTAACATAAAGTATGCACATACTTTATAACATAATAAAAGAATACCACTTTTAATTTTCAGCCTCTAATTTTAAAAAATAATTCAAGCAAAAAACATATTGACAGAGAATAATATTGAGAAGAGTGAATAAATAGATATTACTAGCAATAGATAATATAATCCACAAACCGATACAGTTAAAACTTTAATATCATTCTGATGAAAGTCAAAGATNGGGTACAAGAACAGTGTCAATATTATAAAGTATTTTATTTAAAATATAATTTTTTTAATGTTATTTTATAATTTTTGACTCATAGAATAGAGTGCTAGCCAGGTCACCTTATGGGAATGAGGTGACCTGGAAAGATTCTCTATTCTTTCCGAAACCATGAGAGTTTAACAGGGTAATAATGAACCAAATTTTGATGCAAGCGAAGTATTGCTAAGTTGATAGTATTTCAACTGTTTGGCAATAAATTTTCGTCTAAAAGTGGGTATAACAGTTGGTAAAATAATATTTTAACTAAGAAAATGAGTAAATAATTTAAATTAGTAAAATTAAGAAAAATCAAAGAAAAAATTCCAGCTTTTCTTTAAAAAATCCCTGACTTTTCCAGGTTTCTGTCTAAATCTCCCTGATTTTTTCAGGTTTCTTCCAGCATAAAAAAATTCCCTGATAATTCCAGGTTTTCAAGGTTTTCCAGGTGGGTGGCCACCCTGTTATTTCCTGATATCTGTGAATCAATGGTCTTAAAATATGCAAAATTCTCAAGAAATTCACAAGCCCTGTTCCTAGTTTTTAGACCTGGAAGGATGATATGAAACTTCGGGGTATACCCAGAAAAAATAATTATAAAAAACCAAAAATATTATTTTACCTAGTAGCTAATTTAAAAACCTCTGTGGCACAAGCAGCAGCTATAACAGCATTAGTAGACGCTACAGCAGGAATTATATTTTTAATGACACCTAGAAGATTTTTATTTTAAAAAGAATGAGAAACACAGTTCTGTAAAGAATCCTGTATTAATAATCAAGAATTAGTTCAAAAATAAAATAAGAACATTAAAAATATTACCTTGAGTAAGCCTATAAGTGACACCAGATATATTATATTCAGCAGCTCTTTCAAGAGCTTTTTCATAAATCCATTTCACATGTTGAGGGTCATCTCCATCAATGGCTTCATCTTCTAAAAATAAGAAGATATCTTAAAATAAAATTTTGCATAAATATAGACCATGAGATACATAAAAAACTAATAATAAAAATTGGTTTAAAGAATAAATTTATTAAATTTGCATACAAATTTAGTAATATAAATGTAAATCAAAAAGTTAGTACTTATCCATAAGCCTGGTGCAATTAAATTTCTTTATGACGATTACTATAAGATTTTTTTTCCGAAACTAGAATTTATTTGCTGAGAATTAGAGTTATTTATTTATTACATATTTAAATTTATATGAACTGTGCACAATATTATAATAAAAATTTTGCCTACAATTTAATATTACAAATTTACATAAAAACTTTATCATGAGCATTGCTAAATATTAAATTTATACAAAAATTATACAAAAATGTTGAAAATTTAGATAAAATTTAATAGAGAGCCCTTAACTGAATATGACTTTTGCATAAAATTCAATGAGAATTATACATTAAAACTTATAAATGTAATTTTAAGATTAAAAAAAAACAATATGAATCTTGCATTAAATTTAATAGATGGAACTTTACACAAACATTTAATAATCTGATTTTAACATACAAAATTAGTAAGAATTTTTGCTTAGAATTTAATAATATGAATTTTATGATGAAATTTAATTACAGGAATTTAACACAGAAATTTAATATTAATTACGCATAAATTTAGATTAATTTTGCATAAAAAGTTATGAAAAATTTTTATGCATGAAAATTTTATAATGATAATTTAACATGAAAACTAACTATTGAATAAGTAATAAGAAATGATTTGGTCTCAGAAGAATTCACGATACACTGAATAAAAGAATTTCTTTTTTGTATCATACAATAGTGAATAATATTGAAAATTCTAATTAAACAACTTATTTGGAAAAATAATTCTAGTTAGTAATGAGGAGTAGATTATGGAAATAATTACTTCGTTCTTTTGGCCAAAGTAAAACTTTCACATACTCAATGCAGTGTTCAGGCAGTCGCGGTGTTTGAGCAATTGTACAAAGTGGAAATGTAACCTATGAGAGTGTTTCATATTGATATAAACACTTAATTGAAAAATATAGTAAACACATTTAACTCTACAAGGCGTTAATGTAGTATACATTTTCATTCGAGATGATTTAAAAAAATATACATTTTGATAAAATTAAATAAAATCAATTTTATATAAATCATATAGAGATTTAAAAAATATTTTATAAATATACACAATTTAAAATTTTCAAAATATTTTTGTTTAAAAATCTAGTTAAAATAAAAGTAAACTCCTTAGTGCTCTTTTTATTTGTTTAGAAATGTAATCTATAAATAATGAGTCAGATGTTATTTCATGAAATTCAAAAGTATTATGTCTACAGTTGCTAAAGCATTTAGATATCACCAATTTTTTATATATATTTTTTTAATAAAAGTTCTAACATTTTTCCCATTACAAATTTTTAATTTATGATATTTTTATTTACCAAAATCTATCTGTTACATGTGAGCTGTTGAGTAGATCAAACATATCTGCTTGCTGTCTATTTCTTACAATAAATTTCTTAAGAATTTAGTAATTAAAAAGTATATAATCTTTATGTTGTCATAATCAACTCTTTATTAAATATGTAGTAATTGTGTGCCTTCTATTTGGGCACACTTCAGTGATTTTAATTCCAAAATAGATTAATTATTTCACAAGAAATCTACTAAAACACAATACACATGTTAGGGATGAAACAAAAATTAAAGAGAGACCAAGGTAAAACCGGATAAAGATGAGATTTAAAGTGCAAGGAATAGCTAACGTTTACACCCTTAAGTGTCTAAAACAGAGTCTTACCTCAGAGTCTCAATCAAACCTTAGAGAAAAACATTATCCAATATCTATGATTCAAATTATCAACTGGGCAATGGCCTGTAACCTTAAAAAAACAGAGGGATAGTGAATCCCAATATAGAGCGAGACAACTAGCCACTAACACCAAAAGTTTATGTATTACCTAGTAATACAATGTTTCCCAAAGTGTGGTAGGTGTACCCCCAGGGGTACGGGAACAGTTTAGGAGGGGTACGCGTTCTTATGCGAAATATCTTGCAACAAACAAAAATTACAAAAATTTTATTAAAAAACAAAGCTAGTCATGAAAATTTACAATTACGTATTCTATCGGTTATTTTTTGCAAAGTTAACAGTTAATAATTAGTGGTGTCAACAGTCAGTTTTAATTTTTGTGCAATTTTTTTATGCTAAAAAATACATTCATTCTTTTATTAGTGGTACACAGCGTTACAAAAAATTTAGAAAGGGTGCACGAAAGTCATAAGTTTGGAAAACAGTGTAGTAATATATTGCTTTATTAATGCATGTAACATAAAATTTCGGCTTTAACCAACCACTCAGGATTGGCTACATTAAGTTTAAACCATTGAAAGGTGAAAAAGTTGAAGATTTTTTGATCTTTAACTGAGTAGAATCAAATTCCATACTTTAGCCCCTTACACTTAGGTTTATCTTTCATTTTTGCTTTACCCATAACACAAGCTATGACTAAAAAGGCTCACAATAAATCATATCATGACTGATGTATTATATACAGTTACTAACAAATATAATATGATAATGAAAATTACTTGAGGAGGGTACAAATCTAATGTACAATCTATGCATGCAGTCATAGATGGCAACATTACTCTGACATTTCCTTTGAAGCCTTCTGTACCACCATCAATCATTGGAATAAGAGAGCCATCTTGTTCACTTTCTTCAGCATTGATACCAATCTTCATAAATATAGCAAATGTAAGCTTAATTCATTTTTATAAAAATGCATGCAAATTAAATGTACTTTTAAATTATATATATGTTACATTCTAAATGACACATAAAATTTATTCACTTTATATTTTTAAAAAAAATTTAAAATCTATTATTTTATAATTAAATTAACTTTTTAAGGAGTAGTTTAAATACTATGCAATACCTAAAAAAGTTTGAAACAAGCTAATTTTGACAAGGGACCAACCAACCCAATTCAAGACATTCAATTAATTCTCAAGAACCAAGGTTAAACAAAAAACTTTAATAAAAAAAAAGGTTTCATTAAAAAAAAAAAAAAACGTGCATCAGTGATTTGTGATTTGCTTATTTTAACCACAAATAGGGGTAGGGTTCAAGACCACAACAATATACCTCTATTGACAATTGCATCAAATGTTAAACTATAAAATATAATTTCAGCTAAATTAAAAATATCCTAAAAAATTGCTACGATTAAAAGAGTACCCAGGCGGTTTTCACTGCTTTACAGAACCTAATTTATAAAAGAAGGAACATAAATTAAATTAACTTTAAAACTTTTTAACAAAAAACTTTAAAAATTATTTCTGTTAAGTTGAAGTTTTAATTCCAGAAATTATAATCAGTTATAATTTCTAGAATTTGCTTCATCATATAGTTGGAGGATAAGCCACAACAACTATTTAATTGAAGAATTCAAACAAAAATATGCCTAATAATAAAGAAATAAAAATGTGTGCAGTAATTAAATGTTAAAAAATTAAAACACTTTCATATTTTTCCCTTTTGCTTGTTATCCTCTTTTTATGATCAGCATATAGTTATTTTTACCAAGAAAATAAAAGAAAGAGATAATTTCAATTACAACAAATCAGGTCTTGGAAATAATTTAATTAAAATATTTAATGACAAAGAATTGTTTTATCAGTACATTTACTTTTTATTGGTAAAATAAAATAATTATTGTTTATGTTGCTCTACTAAATAATTACCAGCATTCCATTAATCCATCTCCTGGCAACAATTGAATCCAAGCCACAAACAATAATATGAAATTCTATAAATAAAATTGCTTTAATATTTCATATTTATGAAATGTATTTCTAAAATTATTAAACTATATAAAATATTCATTACAAGATTTAAAACAAACATATAATATTGTCTGCTTCAAAACAACATCAAAAATATAATTTTCTTATAAACAATAAAAAAAACTGATTTTAAATTTTAAATCAATTTCTTTCAATTCTTAATACATGGTAGTTTTTATTATTCTGCAAAATTTAAATTCAACTTTCCTAAGCCCTAAAAAAAGGAAAGATAAAAACCTAAGATAGTTTTTTTTTTAAATTTTATAAATCTAACTTATACATGCCATGTGTCCTAATTTATTATATGTAATGGATGTAACAAGAGTAAAAGACAAAACAAGGTTTATCTAGGTTGAATTTTAAAAAAAAATATTGCAAAACACATTAACGTTCTATTAATTATAATATATACACATTTTCTTACATTATTTGCGTTTTATAATTATTAATAATATATTATATTTTTAATAATTATAATGAAAATGTTAGAGTAAGTATAAAAATGTAATAATAATCACTTACTTCGATAGAAAGAATCATCGTAATCTTGGATTTTTTTAAAATGACTACATTGTGTTAAGCACACTAAAATAACTATTTAAGTAAAATATTTTAATAAAAACATTTTTTATCAGTAAAATTCAGATCATTACTAATGTAGTTTTTGTAAAGAAAATTATTTTTGGTAGTAGAAACATTAATCAATAATTAAATTTGTGAATTATTTTTTATACATAATTGCTTTAAAAATGCCATCATACACACAACTGTTAAAAAGTGAGAGGAAAATAATTTTTTTTTCTATTACCAAGACCCAAAAATTAATATGTATATAAATATATATTAGATAGATATAGGTGACTGGTACCTTTCTAAATAGAAAAACCATAGAATAATAAGGAGGTTCCTAATTAATTGCTTCCTTTAATTCTGAATAAAATATTGAATAAGTAATCTATAGAACATTCCTTCCCAACTAATGCTCCACAAATTAATACTTATGTTAGTATAAGTATAAATTATATTTATATACAGGATGCATAGCTATATCTTTCAACAAAAAATAAGCACCTTTTAACAAATAAGCACTTTTCAACAAAAAATAAGCACATTTTTTAAGCACATTTTATGGAAATAAGCACATTTTATGGAAATAAGCACATTTAGGAAAGCACATAGGATAAGCACATTTTTATGGAAATAAGCACAAAAAATAAGCACATTTTATGGAAAACTGAGCCTGAAATTGAGAATATCTTGCAAAATGCAGAGTTACTCATGAGAATGCAATAATCTCACTGAACCCAGCTCAGTAAATGCATGTGCGGACTCGTAAGTATTTAATCAAAGTCTCAAACACGTAAAATGATTGGACCGGTGGTAAGCCAAATTAGATTGTGGTTGAATAAATTGAGAAAACGTTGAATAGAACAATGTGAAAAGCATGCTTTTGCATATTATGTGGCGAAAATCGACATGATAAAGAAAAAAATCTAATTTTCAAAAAGGTAAATTAAGCACTTTTTAAAAATGCCCAATGAAAAAAGCACCTTTAAAGGCATTTTAAAAATGAAAATCTAAAATTAGCACCTTTAAGCACTTTTTAAAAATGCTTCGCACCATGTATATAGGGTTAAGGTTAAATATCTTTCATTATAGAGCGTATGTGAATGATAAAAAACAAACTGGCCAAAAATTGTTTGTAATCATGCCTACAGCCAAAATTATTAATCTTACCAGTTCTTCGAGAGAATTGGCTTGAAAAACCCTGTGATAAAATAATTATCAGTGTCTTCTATAAAAAATAATAAAAAAACTACAAGTAAAAATAGTAGAACCAATATATGAAAGGAAGAAAGGGTTTGAATTTACTTATTTTCAGTCAAAGGTAAGAGAGTGGGATCTTAAATTGTCACAAATAAATTGAAGTTGAAAAATTTGAACTTCTGCTATTCGGAATTTCAAAATGACCATAAACATCAATAATTTTTGATGCTTCTAATCAATCAAATAATAAAATATTTTTATTTTGATCATAGAGGATAAAAATCTCAATCATATTAGAGAAAGCAAAATGCTTTAATGCAAAGGATACGGAGTTACATTACACCCTTCAATGTGCTTGTTTATATAGGCAGCAGCAACTTCAGCTTTAGGTTTTCCAACATCTGATGCCCTGAAATAAAAATATATTATTGCATGTTTTTGATTAGCAAAGAATTTTAAAAAAAAATACTTTTTACAATATTTCACTGTATTGATACTTAAATTCAGCTGCAATATTAAACAGTTCCCCCAAATAATAAAAACACAAATATTTTCTAATGCCTAGAAAAGATTAAACTCTAACTGTTATTAAAAATGATCTTTATACTAAATTCTTTTGACTAATTTGTCATTTAAAAGAAAAAGCATTATCGAACATAAAAAAACTAACCGGTGTTTCCTCCAATATTTTAACACATTACTAAAGATAAACTAACTCAGTAATTGCCATATGATCACAAATGACTCAGTAGCAAATGAGTCTACTGATAGGTTTAGCATAAGGATTTTGACATGTGACATTTTTTTCACTTGCTCGCTTTTAATCTATTTTTTTTTTTATAAACACTGAATGTTATTCAAGATAGTAAACTAAGAAAATTTTGTTTTTCATTAATTTTGTTAACATAATGCACAACTCTCTTATTGAAAAACAAAGGGAAAAGCTGGTTTTTCAACTGGAAAAACAACAGGTAAAAGGATGACTTTCAGTGCCATAAATGCTCAGGGGGTGAAACCAAGGACAGATTAGAGTAATAATGTAAGGTATAATAATAACACAAATATAAAAACTCTTTTTTTCAATTAAAAATCGCAAATGGTAAGTTTTTTATTAAAATCTATATACATTGTGTAGAGGTTTTAATAGGAATTCTTTCATTTATGATCCTTAATCATTGTTTTTAATGAAATATGAGACACAGTATCTCTGTGCTTTTTAAGAAATAAACATCAATTTTTAATCAAATTCATGTTCTAGTTAAATATGTTAAATATGATCTGTACCTGTACTACAAAGAAAAGAATTCCTTTTCAATTCTACAATCAATCAGTAAAAAGCATGACTTTTTTTATTAATTACATAATTATTAGATACACATTTAAACTAGACTAATAAAATAAATTTTCATGAAATTGATAGAATGTACAATGCGCAGTTTTAAACATTAAAGTACTAGACTAATACTTTATTTAAAATAAAAAGAACTGTTTTTATTAGTGCATGACTCTAATACTAAACCAGTTTCAATTATACTTTCAAACCTCAACTCTCCTACTTACATTTGTATATAACAAACAAAAATTGTAATGATTTTCTGACTGTTAAATTACATGATTTTCAGTCAACGACTTTAAAATTTGAAGGTGAAAAAATAATAAAGCTCTTGGAGTAAGGGAGCAGTTGGAATGAAACCGGTTATGAATTACAACCGGAATCAGTTTCCAGCAGGAATTGTGAAGCTTGAGATAAGAAAAATCATCTCCCAAAGGAATGCAACAACATTCCATCTGGAATTATCATTCCACAGATTAAAATGCTTATTGAATAGAATGAAATTATTAAAATTAATATAGCAAAAATGAAGCTAAAAATTGGGTTGATATATAATTTGTGAATTGTATTACATATATAAAACAAAAACTAAAAGAAAAAGTTAAACATGAACTAATTTAGTCCTGTTAATTCACTGAATTCTAATTACAGAAGTTTCAAAGTAGATAAATTAATTATTTTTTAGTGATTTTTATAAACAGAGTTGGAACAATCAAAACAACTTATGATAGTGAATTTGTATCAAACAAGGTACATTGTCCTGTCCTTTTTTTTTTTTTTTTTTGGGGANTTTTTTTTTTTTTTTTTTTTTTTTTTTTTTTTGGAGATTTATTGAGAAACATAATTTCTAATTTGTTGAATTGCAAGAAGTGTGATTTCTTTGCAATTTTTCAATTCAACATTTGTCCAATGAGCCTTTTTGTAACCAAATTAACATTCTTTCCAAGCATTTACTCAACCTACTCAGGGAGATAAACTTTAATGAAAACTTCTTAAAAAACAAACAAGCAAATAAATGGGGTGATATATAAAAAACAATAAAATTTTGATTCTGGTATCCAGCCTTATCAGTTAGCCATAATTAATATTTACTAATATAGGGAGTTCCCATTGTAGTTGGCATTCTATTAATAAACACTATTAAAGGTTTCAAATGAAAAACAGAATCTAATCCCTACTAAATACCAACATTCAGAAAAACTAAAACTTAGCAATCGATACCAAATTATTGTTTTCCTTCTTTAGAAATAATTAAGATTAAATTAAAAAACAAAACTATAATAAATAAATCATTACAATACATAATATACTCAAATACATAACATAAAATATTTACCTAAATAAGAACTGCCGATTTAGATTGGAAATTTCAATTGTATCCATATCAATGACATCAATATTTCGAAATCCAAGCATAGCCTATTATAAACAGAAAATTTTATTTGAGATTACAAGTTTAGAATTTAATTACAGAGGAAAGTCCCATATCCGGAATCGTCGGGACTGCAACAAGTTCGAAAAGTAGATTTTTTCATATAATAGGTCTTTAAGGTATACAAACATCAAAACATTCTTATTCAATAAAAAATAATAAATAGACGATAATTGATATTAATTTCAATCAACAACTAATAAATCCACGTGGTTTGTGTGGTTGTGCTATTTTTGTTACAATTTTCCACATGGTTTTTTAAATCTTAGATATTTTAATATGCTATTATAACTTACAGCGAATTTCGAATATAAATTCAAATTCTTAAGTCAAAATTATTAAACAGGAGGTAGGAAAAATAAACAACCATTACTACACTAATTCAAATTGGAACAGTGCACAAGGCAGCTAAAGCCAAATTCAAATTATATAAACTAGTAACAATATAAAATTACTTAAAAATGATTTAAAATATTTTTTTAATAATATTGTAAAAATAATATTAACATAAAATAATATTAACATAAAATAATATTAACATAAAATAATATTAACATAAAATTGTGTGCTTACACACAATAGACACACAATTTTGTGTTAATATTATTTTATGTTAATATTATTTTTACAATATTATTTAAAAAAATTTTAAATCATTTTTAAGTAATTTTATATTGTTACTAGTTTACAGCGAATTTCGAATCACACATTTTGGTTAGTAATCATTTCTTAACCGATTCTTCGATTAGCGACATTTCCACAGTAAATCCATGTGGTTTTGCCGATAGTGTTTTCACCACTTATTAAAACAGATTCTCACTCGCTTTTAAAATCTCAATGGTATGATATTATTTTGTTTAGAAAATCTTGAATCATACATTTTGCACTCAACTATTGAAAATTCACTTTCAATCCCACGTGGATTTATGATCACATTTTTGTCTGTTATTGCTACAGATTTTCCTACTTTTTTAATGCTACATTGTCATACACAGGAAATTTTGACTCGAGCATTATTTTTTGATGCACTCGATTTGTGAAGATTTCATTGTCTACTTGGTTTTCAACAGTTTGGTTCAGTAACTTCATCGCGAATCAGCAATTTTTTCAAAAAGTGAAATTTCGCACTCCGAAATTAAGAGCGTGATTCTTAGCAGTAATAATCCTTTAGACGAGGAAAAAATTTGAGATTTTTTTCGTGATGTAGTTAAATACCGAATTTCGTTTCTGCGATATCCAATTTTTTTTTATATTGTAGTGTAAATCGGATTAAAATTGAACAAAAAACAAAACACGCAAAAATCATAAAGAAGTGGGAAAATGGCGGATTCTCATCCTGTCATACTTTTTAACAAGTCGCAAAAAAAGAAAAAAGCATTTTTCATTCAATTTTTTTTATTTATTTTTTGAAAAAGGAAAAGAGTCTATTTTGATTGTTAACCCCAACCTTCTCGCTCCCATGAAAATGAATGGGTGAGTTTTCGCTCGCTATTTCTCGCTCCTGTGATATTCACGGGCTGGAGTGTTCAGTAGTAATGCGCCAATAAGAATAAAACTAATTCATTTCTTTTGCCCAGAAAAAATTTTATTTCTCCTTTTACACAACATATAACAGTACCAGGATATTTTTAAGGTAATTGTAAATAGTTAGTTTATTTTAAACTAGATACTAGCACTAATCAAATACAACTAATTCGGCAAACTAGACACTTTTATGACAGTTTTCTGGAAAATTAACCAATCATTAAGGGGTTAAAAATGGTTCAGAAGTGAGACCCTTCCGGTAAATGGACGTCCTGATATGGGGCTATATATTATCTTTACATAAGCTCTGTCAAACAAAAATGGAAAAAAAATAATGATTCATTACTTATGTGGACCGATACAGCAATAAGCAATAACTGTATGATTTCATGATATAAATTACACATTTTATACTTAAACCATTTTATCAAAGACAGATATTTTCTACAAAATTTTACAATACCTATAGAATTTAAAGATATTGAAAACAAATATTCCAATTGAAAAGTAAAATAAAATTATATGAAAGAATTATTAATTAAATTATCAAACTTAACTCGTTACATAAAAAAAGGAAGAAAAAAAATGGACATTGTTAAAACAGGGACATATTAATAAAAGAACTGATTAGAACAATTATGAAATCAAACAGTTTTGTTTATGATTATAAGAATATAAGTTATAGATATTAAAGAAATATTGCAATAAATAAAAATGAAATTCACAAGTAGTATGAGTAATACACACAAATCATCCGGAAAATAATAGGTACTCACTAAATTTTTCAAAAGTTCACATCCAAGACCACCGGCTCCAATAACAAGCACATTACAGACATTGCGCACAAAATCAAAAACCTAAAATAATAAAACTTTTAATTACAGAAATGCATAAAGTTTTTTAACTTAAAGATTGAATACTTCAACTATAAAAAAATTGCACAAACTTGCGGTCCTGGAGAAAAGTCCTCATGAGCGAATGGGCCGTTTCTAACTAAAAGTTTTTCAACATGAGTCCATCTACCCGGCCAATCCATTATGTATCTAGTGCAGGCAAGACGTATTTAATTTTGAAAATAATAATTAATCTTTGGCAATTCTTTTTTAAAAAATAGCTGTCGAAACGGTAGCAAAACAAGTATCTACTTTCAATTGATTGTTTACATCAATGAACATTGGGTACAACATATTTTCACTACCCTCTCACAAAATTTAAAACTAGCATTTAGCTTTATAATTTTAAACAATTTTCACAAAAGTGACGTCATATATAAGGGTTAATCTCACTGCATGAAAAAATCACAGTCGCGAAATCTAAGATGAAGTAAAGAATCTGATTGCGAGTTTTTTATGGGGAAATTTGCTTCACTAATCAATACAATAGCGAATTTTTTGCCTATAGTGAGAACAGCTCCTTAAGAATCGTGTGGAGTATGAGAAGATTGGAGTAAAAAACAAGTCAAGAGGATACTTTGAACTATATATGGAGCATTTTGTGAATAATTTCATGGGAAAATTTCACATTTCTTTTTCCTTTTTCACTAGGCTACTGAGAAGTAGTAGTAGTACTTTGTTTATGTCGTACTTAGGCTTCACAACGGGTTATTGCGACGGCCTGGGAAATATTCCCGAGGAGGATCCGAAAACCTGCCGTTACAATTTTAATCCTCTGCAAAAAGGATGGCCTTCTTTCACACTGAGGAAGCTGATGTTCAGCGTACAAAGACTAGCACTTTACGGTGGAATAGTTCAAGAGCAAAAAAATAAAGTACATCGCCCTCGATCTCAGCACAGGCTAACCAAAATGGTCCCATTGAGAAGCGCGACCCATTGAGAAGAATTTGATAAAAATTAATTGATTTTCTCCAAGCAGCTAAACTTAAATAAAAATTAGGTTCAATGTAACACTTTTCTGAGACTGCAGCAAATCAGTGTATTATGATCCATAATACTACATATTAAAGTTCAATGTTAAACCTTAAATTCTGTTGTTCTTCTAGAAACACTGCATTATCGCTAGTAATACATTTTTTTTTTTGTTTCTAATAGCAAGGCATAATATACAATTCAAAATTATCTAAGTATAAAATAGCAAAAGTAACTAGGTAAAACACAGGGACGGATTTAAGCTTGGTGGGGCCCTAAGCTACTGAAAATGATGGGGCCCTTATAAGTTCAATTCCACTTCTATACTTCTAAAGTAAACTGTCACTATTTTTTATTGTTGAGTATTAACATTATATTATTAAAAAATTTGATAATATTACTTTATTGTTGAATATATTAAATGTGATGAGACTATTATGTAGAACCTTTTTTTTATTGCACATATTTTTTGAAAGAGGGGGAAAAGTTACAAAAGAAACACATTTTAAGCACAGAGTAAAAATTTGGCGTGCTGGGCCACTATATATTTAACAGAGTTTTTTTTTTTAGATTCATTTTGAATATATTTTATTTGCAATTTTTAATGATTTTTTCGCGAATTTTTTTCTCAATTGTTTTTTCTTTACGTTACGAAATCTATAAGACTTATAAACATGAAATTTTGAATGTGCGTGGAAAATATGCAAAGAGTTAGAAGGAAAACAAGAAAATACAATTTGATTATTAGTTTTATTTTTTTTTTTATAACCGCCGTTGAACAACCGACGCAATTTTGAGTTTACGCCCTATCAACCAGGCTATCCCGGCCAAATTTATTAGTTTATTTTATAACAGTCATTGCACAGCCGACCCAATTTCGAGTTTACGACTACTAATATTCAACTCCGTTGCCTTGTAATTTTGAACCCAATCCAGAAGACAAGGGAATTGCTAGATTAGAACCCAGAGGTATTTATTCGTTATGACAACTTGGAGGACTTCGTGACCCCGACAGATTTAACATGCACCAGTCACCATTTTACACATGGGTATTCTTCTGCCAGCTGGATTCAAACTCCCATTCTCACGAACACGAGTCCAACGCCCTATCAACCGGGCTATCCCAACCAAATTTATTAGTTTATTTTATAACAGTCATTGCACAGCCGACCCAATTTCGAGTTTACGACTACTAATATTCAACTCCATAGCCTTGTCATTTTGAACCCAATCCAGCAGTCCCTGGAGCAGGTGAGGGCCGTTATATTAATACTGTTTGAAAAAATAAAAAGAACATTTCGTAAGCTGATATTATTTAATTGATGTTTATATTGAAAATATTTCTCCATTATTTTTGCTTTCTTTTTAATTATTTTATGTACATTTGTTAAATTTTAGTGCAAGAAATTTTTTTTTCATTACTTATGTAAATTTTTGGCTTATATTTTTAAGGATTTATTAAAGCGTCTACTAAATATCAGAGAGAATAAATGTCATACGGGTTTAAAGTATCAGCTCAGCTCTTGATGGTGTATAGTGGCTAGGATGTGAAAGAGTAACTGTTCCAGGCATCCAGCCAAAACGAGCATTCAACATATCAATGGAACACACTAAAGCTTTATATCAATTAGCAATTAGTTTTAGATAATTACAATTGTAAAATAATTATTTTATTATAGAATGAAATGTTTTAAAAGACAAATATCTGTTAATTTTTAACATTTAATCAACGAAAAAACAACCAATATTGAAATCTAACGAATTTATTATTTTTAATTACTGATAAAG